AACAATGTGTGGCTGTTTATCAAATTTAACGGTACTTATGGAAAGGGGAATAAATTTAGAAGTCATCTTTGATAGAAACATTTCATTTATTGTTAAAACCCGTTCAAGAAAGCGTGGGTTGTGCTTAGTAGGATGGAAATTAGATCAAAAACCCTATATGGAGCTAAAGAAAAAATGTCAAAAAAATGATTTTCTTTCTGTTTCGTTTTTTTTATGCTAACAGTCATATAATGTTATATTTTTCTCTTATGCAAATTAATTAAACAAATAACTTTTGTAAAGAAATATACTGGTTTAAGCTTCAATTTTTTTTTCCTTTGGTTTGTTTTTGCCGTCGATCTTGTTTTCCGTGCTGAGCACCAATGCTACCGACGTGCCAGGAAGGCAGCTCCCACACCTGGACCCTACCTATCGACCCATCAACTCATGAACCGGGGACCAACGGCTTTACTTCCCATCCGAAGGAAGGCGTGATCAGAGATGTTATGCCTCAGAACATCCCGGCGGCGCCGACTGGGACTGAACCCAGGCCTGCTGGGGTGAGAAGTAACCACGCTTACCACTACACCACCGGCGCCGTTCAGCTTCAAATTTTAAAGATAACAATTTTTGAACTTTAATATCTCCCAAAGCGCAGAAAGTCGCAACCTGATATTTTCAGCAAAAATTAAACAATACTCGATAAACAAAATATCAAAATTTGAGAGAGGTATATTGTGGTGTTTTTTAGATTTCTTCAGTTTAGTGGAACATGTTTTTTCAACAACTTTTTTTATGCATTGAAATGGCGTTTTGAAGACTTGACGACTTAAACAAAGATGTTTATATTGATAAAATAAACAACTCTTCTGAAGAAGTGAAATGTGAAAATAGGTGTTTTAATTTTAAATACATTGTTCAAATGCATTCTTCTTTGCCGATGACATAAAGTCTCCAAAACGTGAGAGAAAGAAGTTAGATTGTGGCGCCATCTTTGTGGAAGAGTTTTGAACTTTTTGTTTATGTCAATAGATGGTCCTTATTATACAGCAAAAAATAATTTTGATATCACATCAAAGTGGATGCACTTTGTAACCTCTTGCTACTCAGAAGGTAAAATGTTTCACGGTTTTAGCTGAGCACTGGGTTGCTTATATTCACTGAGCATTTTCATATAAACCTCAACACAAGTCACTCACCCTAGCAGGAGCGAAAGTCATCGTCCATAGTTAGTTACTGATTCACGAAACGGTTACCAACCATAACTTTAGACCAAGGTGAAAAAGCTCCAAGGTAAAGGTCATAGATTTCAGTGGACTTCACAGATCGAAGTTTGGATACTCCTTTCGGGCAAGATAATCGAAAAAAAAACACAAAGATGGCGTATATAAATATCTTAGGGAGTGCTTGCTTGAAAATTAAGTTGACACCTATTCTAGTTTAACATGCTTGCTTTGCTTTTATTGGCCCAACCTAGGGCTTCTTTTGTGTATCAAAAAAAAAAGAGAGGGTGACATCACTGTATGTGTACTTGCGGTTTGACGGCAGGCGGTGCCTACGGTGTCTAGCATGGGTGGTGAAACAGGTGCTTCTCTGTCCGGTCACCGTCGGGTTCGACCGAATTACGGGAATTTTCGGGATGACCGACGGGTAGTAATCGACGGCTTGTCGACGCTTAAAATTGGTTGGTTCTAGTTGATGTGGTTGCACTGCTTCGAGGGCAAACACGTGCCGTTTTGTCGTTACTTCTGGCGACGGGAAAATGGTGGCCAGGATGTTTCTTTCTGTTCGTATGAAGTCAATCTCAAGATAGCGTTGGAGAATAGCTGGTCCTTGGCAATATCGACGCACTTTTACTCACAATCGTGTTCCGGTGTATCTGCGGACGGGATAAGATTTTCTGGGGTTTATCCCCAGGAAGGACCAGTGCGCAAAACAGTCAGGTTCATTGAGTCATTTTGATATGAATATGAACTGCCATCTGGCTCATCATTCACTGCCTCGTGAGAGTCTGAATGATTGAGAGGTAAACGAGTCACTGACAGCCGAGCACCCAGTCAGTAGCTCAGTCAACACGTTTATTTTGCCGTGATGGTACCCAATATTTGTTTTGAATGACTGAGTGTACATTTCCTATGGAAAAATGACTCAATTACATGCTGTGTGAGCGAAGGCAAGCAGTGTGCGTCCGATGTGCGGTAAAAAAGGTGAGGAGAAAGAAAACTAGTGGACTCTTTCATTCTGACGGTGTTCTTATGCAACAGCAGACGTGACGTCACGTCTGTTGCTGCGTAAGAAGACGCGAGAACGAAAGAGTCCACTAGTTTCCTTTCTCCTCACCTCTTAAACCGCACATCGGTGTGCGTCGCCTGCTGGTGAGTGACTGAATGTTTTTGTTGGCTCTTTCATTGCCTCGTCCTTTACCGTTTGGTACAAACGGTCTGCACAGAGCAATGGAGTGAATAGTGCAGTGCTTTCACACTCAGACTCAGCCTAGGCAGTCAATAATTTTACGCTCTGGATGTGAGTACACCGGTAATGTCTCTCTTCAACTACTAAATACCTATACCACAAGTATTAGGACCAATACATTCAAGATAAAAAAAACTTGGTTACCTTTTCCTGCAGATTGAATTGGAGGACGCTGTTGGCTTTTGTTTCCTACGACTCTACTAGTTTAACTTGTTTAACTCTTAACTGGCTTAACAAAAACAAAGAATACAATTTAACTATAAATATTTCTCTTCACCTTTCTTAATTTTCACTAACCGTACCATCAAACACTCCAAAAATTGGTATAAACACTTTTCTTTCACGACCGGCGTACTTCTGGTATCTACGATAGTTACAATCGAAAAGAGACCAACCTATGCCTTGAACATCTTTTTTTAAGATCTCTATAGGACTGCAAACTTGGAAAACCCGAAGTTTGACCAGTTCCTATTCGTAACGGTTGGCAACCATATCGACAGGAACTCATTGTCGATTACACCGATGGATTCAGATGTCAGCTCAAACCGCTGTCAACAAACGGCCTGTGTGAGACATGTAACGCGTGCCCAATAAATCAGTGCCAACACTTCAAAGGGGCGTAATTGCTTCTGTAAACAATGGCTTTAGCCGTCGGTTTATCGCAAATAAAAGCTCACTCCTCTAAATTAACAATGTTAGCTGGTAGAGGAAACATTCCTCTAGCTGTTGTTGTTATTAATTTTTATGAGTGAGCTTTTATTTGCGAGAAATCGACGGCTAAAGCCATTTGTTTACATATACAATTACGCCCCTTTGAAATGTTGGCACTGAAATAAATCGATGGCTCTGTTTTTTTTTCTGACAGCTAAGGATTCAGCCATCAGTGTCAGATATTGTAGGTTGGATTAAGGTGTTAGGATCTTACTGGCAGGCGGGCTAATCGACATTGGGATGGGATGCTTGTGGAGGAGCCAGCAAGTTACAAATTTGTGACCAACGGTTACAACTTCAATCGTGTTAAACATATGGTGTAATATTATTTGCCAAAAAAGAAAAAAAATATCATTAATACAGTGCATAAACTGACATTACGCTGATTTTACTGCATTTGTTTATTTTTGTGGCCATAAAAATTACATGAGGTCTTCGCTAGATTGCATTGATGGCCCAGTGTGCAAGGATAGGCCTTCCCAAGTAACAATTTCCAGTTGAAGAAACGCTTTCGTTTTGATTTTGTTCAGCTGCAAGTTGAATAATAATTGCACAATGTGTTAACCACAACTTTTATAAAACCCTTGTTTACACTGGTTTGGAGAACCTATACAACTGCAACACAAAGGTGTTGTCTAACGTATTCAGTAAAACGTTTATCCAAAATCAATTTCTTGTTGAAGAAACGCTTCCATTGTGATTTTATTCAACTGCATGCTGAATAATAACTGTACAATTTGTTTATTACAACTTCTGTAAAACTCTTGTTTACACTGGTTTGGAGAACTTGTTCAACTACAGCATTATATGTATACGCGGTATAGGAGTAGAAGCAACTTTTATACAACGTTTATAGATACATATTAAACTCAAGCTTTATTATTTTGGTGAAAGCTCTTATACAACGTAGTCCATGATCGTCCCTTCGACACAAGAATTTCCGATCTCCACCTAGAGACGAGAATCAGTGCTGCAAAATCTCGACAATACAAGGGTATATTCAAAATTATGCTTTCGGTCACTCGGTGCTTGGTCACTCATTTGAGCTAACAGTCATCGAAATTTGAAAAGAAATTAAATGACTTGAGCAAAACAATTCTACAATTGATGCATCTACGTCCGGAACTGCTTGGATAACAATAATGCAGCTGGCTGGCATGCCGCCATGTTATTGAAACCAACATCTGAAACGTCACAATTCCAGTGTGAACTGCAAAAATGGCGTGACTGAATTGTCTTATTTATATCAAATGAAATTATTTTCCCTTTTATGCCATATAAATGGTTGACTTCGTGGAAGAAAATCAGAAAATAATATTTTATGAGTCCTAAGTTTATTTTTCACAAAATGTAAGCAAAAATATTAAGAATATCCATAATATCAGTCACGCCTTTTTTGAAATTCTGGCTTGAATCTTCTATTTGTTTACAAATTATGAGCTGTCAGTGGGGCCCGCAATTCGCGGGTCCGCAGCGATGTTAGCTCTTTTCAAGGCAAGGCAAACAAGATAGGGATGCCAGCTAGCTGCAATAATGTGACTCAGAATGCACGAAATCACACTTTTTGTTACCCGGTGAATCTTTGTCATTGACGAAAAAATGAATGAGAATTTGACAAAGGCTTTTTTCAGGATCAAGTCTATCAGTGACTATGCGAAAAACAATTTCGTCAATATCGCGCGATAGTGACAACTCTCAACACTAACGAGAATAAATATTGCAACTCCGTTTGCTCCTACGAGTAAAGATTTCCTGCTTAATCAGAAACAGAAAAGTTCCCTTTTCTTCGGAATAATCGAACGTAGTTTCTCAAAAACAACAAAACATCGCCGTTTGAATAACCTATATTAAAAATTGTTTATTATTGCTCAACAGTATTTCAGTACAAAACACTGCATCGTTCGACAGCTACAAATATGTCAATGGCAAGCCTCGTGCCCCGCTGATGGGTAAAAGTCTGAGTCAATTTTTCCCTACTATTACATCAGTTTTCCTGCTCTCTAGCTTACACTTGTCTATTATAATATTATACTTACAATCACATGTGTCTAACTTGAAGGCCGGTTCTAACCAGTCGGCTTGTTCTATGGCATGACAAAAACTCATGTGCGTTAAATCTCATCCATGCGAAAAGGTAATCTGATAAGCGAGATGGTGATAACTCTAATCCGATGAATGAATGCGAAACTATATACAAACATACGGATGAATGCATCGATGAAAACTATTGCTTAGCTAACTGTCATAATAAATAGTTGCGTTATGTTTACTTGCGTTATCTACTTTCTCCGATTCGATTAAATAATCTAGTCGTCACTAACAGTAAAATGGTGAGGTTAAACTTTGATCACAGCAATTGAGCTACCATACTGTAGGCTACTTCAGGAGGATGGTTGATTCAGCATACGCAAGACAACACCGGAGTTATCATCCGTTACTGCCGTACTGATGGGAATCGGTGGTGATGGGGTCGAGCTGCCTCCACCGAAGGTGGCATTGTTTAGCATTGAGGTACCATTTTCTTCAAAGGCAACTTCGCATAATCCGGAATCCAGGGCTTCCGCTGCCAGGTAGCACGAGCAGAACAGGGCTACGATGCAAAGAATCCAATAGAGCGAGAAGCAGATGTACCGGACTCGATTCCAGAATGGATCCTCGATGTATTTGGTCAGCTCTTCCTTGGTCAGAGCGTACGAATCACTGGAAAAAAAAAATACGAGAAGAATAAGAGATAATGATGCGGTGACGACAAAATGTAAGTTCGTAAAAGTTCGATCACGTTTTTGCAAATACGCGGCAGACTGATGGGGCGCGCGAACAAACAACAAGGAAGGAGCGGATCATGTTACGTAGGAACGGTATTTACTTTTATCAGCATCCGCACTGGACCATAGAAACTGTGACTGGAAGTCGGTTGGGGCTTGGTTCAACAATTCTTTACGGCATTGAACTTGACCCCGGACGGCGGCGCGGTGTTTCGGGAATGATGGAACGCTTGTTTTTACGTAAGTCTACCGTTATCAAACGGAGGAATTTTTCCAGTGGGGAAATGTTTCGGCACGTCATTCTACAATCAAATTTTGCTGCTGCGGAATCTTCTTTGTTCGTCGTCAAGCAGAGAGGAGCAAACATGTTGCCATGTTGTTTGCTTTTATGACTGGCGAGAAGGATTGCGACTCTGCGCTTTATTGGCTTAGTGCTTATTTGTCAGCCGATAAACGCTGAAAGCAACAGATGCACTCATTAAATGATAGCGGCCGCCGACGGCGCGGCGTGTGGTGGTAGATAAAGGATAGTAGTAGCTTTCTGCGAGTGCAGAAAACGAAATCACGTATTTGCGAACGTTGATGCGATTGTTTACAGTACCGATATGCTTCATTGAACTACATCGACATCGGGCAACGGAGTGTATCCGGTTGGGAGTGCATGTGTGTCGTGCACTGGATAGCTATTGATGTTCGACAAGATTGGGTACTTGACGGCCAGAAGCTTTTCATATAGTGGTTGCTTGTTGTAGTACAAGAGCGATTCAGAACTTCAACGCTGCAAAATGGTCAATGGGCCATCTGTAAACAATGACTTTAAACGTCAACCTCGCGCGGATGAAGACTCATCCGGGCAAACCAATAGTAGGATATGGTAGAGGAAGTTTACTCTATCAGATGACGAAGTCAGTTTGCGTGGTGTGATTCGTGAGAAGTCGTCGTTTTAAATAATTCTTGATAGAGCTGGAATTAGGGTGTAACAGTTTTTGTAAACAATTACTTCTCTCGATGATTTCTTGAAACTCAAGTCACCCACACGCCAACCAACATAACCAACGGGAAGGGGAGGTTTTCCCCTACCCGATGGTGACGTTGATTTGAGTGGGCGAGCCTTGGATTTCTAGAAATCATCAAGAGAAGTCATTGTTTACAAAAGCTGTTACGCCCTAATTCCAGCTCTATATAGAATTGGTGGCTCATTGGTTCTTTTCTCGCATGTTTGTCTAGAACGTTCGATGTGACTTTACTCCGTACCATATCACTTTAGCCTTAACCCGTTTTCTGTACTCTGGGGTCAATTCGGCCCCAGGCCTGCCAGTAAATTTTTGTTTTGTTAACGAATTAGTTTAATTCTTTCGTGGTCAGGTGCGTCTGATTAAAATTTGTAAACCAAGATACAATCAGTTTCAAAATACTTGAAACATCATCTTTTAAAATAATTTTCTTGAAATATAGTACTATTTCAAACTGCTGTATCTCAGTGATTTTTCAATGGATTTTTAAAATTGCAAAATTGTGCTATCTAAATTTAGTGGTCTTTAAGTTAACTCCATCTACATTATTTCTGGAGGACGGATCACTCATGATCATTGTAAAAATGTGCCCATGAAATGAGATATTTCAATGTAATAAATGGGCCTCCCTTAGTTCAGTCGGTATATGCACAGCTATAAAGCAAGACCATGCTGGAGGTGGCTGGGTTCGATTCCCGGTCCGGTCTAGGAATTTTTCGGGCTGGCAAACTTCTCGACTTCCCTGGGCATGGAGTACTTACTTACTTACCACACAATTATACTAATGCAAAAATGGAACAGGCACCGAAAGCTCTCAATTAATAACTGCAAAGGACATCTAGAAGACTAAGTTGAAAGCACGCAATAAGCTAATATGCGATAATCAATTAGTTTGAAATATGAGGAAGAAGAGGAAGAAGAAGAAGAATAAGAAGAAGAAGAAGAATAAGAAGAAGAAGAAGAAGAAGAAGAAGAAGAAGAAGAAGAAGAAGAAGAAATGGTTACTATGAGATCCTCAGCATATAGGATGATAATTCCTTCAACAAAGATGTTAGGGAATTTTAAAATTATTGATAGTTGGTTATGTTTCCTACAGCTTTCCGGTCCTTGAAAATGTTGTTCGGTATACAAAGGGGTTGACGGTTTCTGATTAGTTCCTATTCCCGCCTCATGGCATTTGGTTCTATCTTTTGAACGGAGTGTCCTAGCGCCAAAGTTGTGCATTTCATAATACTGAGAAAGGTTGTCGGTCAAGTTTGACACCGGAAAACCTCACAGTGACATTCGATATTCAACTCGTTCTGTACGTTAAACATAACGTCGGACGTAGTGGGCGTTATAGCGCTTCAATGTGTGAATCAGTGCTCTCCCAACAAATTTTGAATATTGAATAAGAGCTTATTCAGGCAAAAACAAGCTTCATATCAGCTAAAAAATAGCTTATTCAGCTGTTGATCAACTCAAATTGTTTGTTGGGCGGAAAATCATGCTCAAATCTCATTCATTGAGTCTCCCTGAAAGAATGAATTCACTTGCGAATCTGTATAACAAATCTCACGCTTGATATTCTCATGAATTTTTACTCACTCACACTCATAACGACGAAAAACTATTTCGGGGTAAAATTCATACACAGAATAATACAATACAGAACCAAACGATCAAACATCAATTTATAGAATGCTGATTAATGCTGATGAATGTTTTGTTAGTTTTCCATCCACTGACTTTCGCACGTAAAAACCCTATTTGGCAACATGTTGCCCAACTTACACTAGACACTAAGTGTCGGTAGCGCCGAGTGGAAATTTTCAACAGAAAATTTATCGATACTAGCAACAAATTGTCCGAAAGTGGTAAGTTTACTGAGTAAATCAGGAGATGCAAGCGCCACGTAACGTCGATGTTCCCATTCATCTTTACACAAGTTTCTGACGGAAATTTGACACCTGTTCTCTCTGGCTGTCTCTAAAAACGGCGGCTAGTTGTACCATGAAATCCAAATTCGATGTCGGGACTTGATATTCTCGACGAGCTTAAAGCTGGGTTTAGACAGGGCGAGTCAATTGATCAAGTCAGTTGAATTCAACTGACTTGAGCAATTGACTTGCCCTGTCTAAACCCAGCTTTACCTAATCTAAACCCAGCTTAAGTCTGTGTTGGCAAACATTATTGCAACACAAAACACTGCATCTGTGCCTTCGTCACGTGATTCATAACCCAGTTTGGAAGTCGAATTAACCAACAAAAAAACGCTGATGACTCACGATGGGTACGAGGAAGACATGGAAGACAGACTGGACTGAGTACGATGCGAGCAAATTACGACGTTTGAATCAGCAAAAAAGGCTGAAGAAGCTAGAAAGTGAAGAAAGCAAATTATAGCACGAAATGAAATTTACTTCAACAACAACGACAACAGCATCACTTCACGTTATTATCGCATCAACAATTTCAACAATGATGTCAACAACAACATCAATCGCAATAATATTCTCGGCAACCGTGACATCGCTCATAATAGGTCTGATCGCTTATAATAGGACTAACTCTCTTGAGAGGAAGTGGAAGACAATGTTTTTGCAGAACGATTTTCTGGATTTGAAGACCTCTCATCATCTGGAAGAAAAAGTAATAGGCATCTCAATCCAGCCATCTTAGTAAAAAATGGTTTGATGATGCAGAAAACATGTTCCGGCTATATCACCGGAACCGGTTGACCGATTCCAAAAATATTCAATAATGGGACCACAATATCTTCCATTTGGTGGTTGTTGCGTCCGATTCGGTTCAGTGGTTGCCGAAAAACACGACTTAGATTCCTAAATCTGTGTCTTTTGGATCTTGTTCCGTCCATATCTCCGGAATCTGCTTTCTCTGTTGGTCCGCTAGTGCCGCTATGCCTTTTGCTTGTCGTATGCTCTCGCCACAGTCCGTCATTCGAATCCCGTCAACGAGCTTAGGAACCTCATATTTATACCTCTAGCTGTATCCAAATTCCCGAATCAATCATATTCTGTTTACATACGGTCTATCATGCTTCACGCTTATTTGATTCTACTCATTTCTATTCCACACTAACTCTTTCTACTACACGACCAGCAAAGGACCATCAGCAGAAGGGATAGCGGCACTAGCGGACCAACAGAGGGAGCAGCACATTCGTGTAACCGTGACTGGAGGCTGGAAACCTCGGTCCGCCTACTACATCGGACCACCAGCTGAACGGCAGATTCGTGGAACCGTGTCCGAGGCTGGAAATCTCGGTCCAGTCACGACAATGGCGCAACTCGGTAAGTGAGAACCATCTTCTTTCTTACGAGGATGCTACTGGCACTCCCTGAGAGGCCAGTTGAAATTCCCCTGAGAGGGTAGGTGAAATTCCCCCGAGAGGTTAGATGAAATTCCCCCCGAGAGGGAGATGAAATTTCTTCGAGAGGGTAGATGAAATTCCTCCCAGAAGGTAGAAGAAATTGCTATGAGAAGATAGAAGAAACTCCTCCAAAATGGTAGAAGAAATTCCTCCGAGAAGGTAAAAGAAATTCCTCCAAAAGGGTAGAAGAAATTCTTCCGTGAAAGTAGAAGCTATTCCTCCGAGAAGGTAGAAGAAATTCCTCCAAAAGGGTAGAAGAAATTCTTACGAGAAGGTAGAAGATATTCCTCCGAGAGGGTAGGTGAAATTCCCCCCGAGAGGGTAGATGAAATTCCTCCGCGAGGGTAGATGAAATTCCTCCTAGAAGGTAGAAGAAATTGCTATGAGAAAATAGAAGAAACTCCTCCAAGAAGGTAGAAGAAATTTCTTCGGGAAGGTAGAAGAAATTCCTCCAAGAAGGTAGAAGAAATTTCTTCGAGAAGGTAGAAGAAATTCCTCCAAGAAGGTAGAAGAAATTCCTCCGAGAAGGTAGAAGAAATTCCTCCGAGA